TAACTTGTATATATAGTGGTGGTCCGATTAATTGAAATAATCGAAGAATGGTCACAGTGGCCAAACGACCAAGCAATCGACCACATTTTCTCATTATCGAACACAAACGATTTTGGAACCGCTGTAATAGAGTTTGAAATACTTGATGATAGAACATATCTAGGACGTTGTCAGGGCCTGAAAACGTGTTTATTTCTAAGAAAACTCACTTCACTTTCTGAAAAGTCATGACTGAATATTTCTTGAAGAATCTGGGAAGTTAATGTTACACTGGAACTGAATCATTTTACACTGGATGTGAAATCTGCAAATGTAATTTGTGGAGTTTCTAAAAACAACAACAGAGAACCAAATGTTTTTTCTTTATACTTATCTGCAACTACAACCTGAATAGGAAAATCTAAAAAATGACGCTAACCAATTTTTTTCGATGATTGGCCGTTGGTATTGAACCAATCATCAATTGTGGGATTTCAACCAATTCCCAACACTAGTATATATCTTCCGATACTGGAGTATTCTACTGTTTCGTTTTGAGGAGATTAAATATGACATTTTCTGTAATCGCCCGAGCCTCCCTAAGTATTTGTAAGACAGCAGTATACAGGGCACCGTTACCTAGTTCATTTATATTACAGACGTCCCTGTCTTGCAAGTCCATAAGTTTCCTTAGGTCTTCCCTTGGATCGCATAGTCAAATTATATTAAGATGACAGATATTGGGTCGCATAGTCAAACTATATTAAGATGAGAGATAAGGTACGACTTTAGAATCCGAAGGGAAATATTTTCCGGTAACACTGACATTTATATATTTAAAAAAAGTATTTTTAAAACTGTATTTGTAGGGTAGAATCACTTCAATTGTTAGAGTTCCCGCGGGCATGGGAAGTAACAATAATACATAATGGTGGTTCATCGCGTCCTGATTTAACTACTTTCTGAGTGTAATTAGAGGTAGCATGGATGCATTAAGATTTGTTTGATGTGACGAGAGACTTTAATAATGACACCTATTAATGACGAACACAATACTACATATGCAGATGATGAATGGGTATCTCCGTTCTGATGGAGTCTCAGTCCAACGCACGATGGGGGAGGACAGTAGCTTGGCGTACTTATTCTGTTCCATCCCCAAGCAGTTTATGGCACATGGATACTCATGTGAAACTAAACAGGTTTGTGTGATTTGCGTTAAGATTGAACATTTTAGTTTCAGACTGTTTAAGTCACGAATTATATTCCACAACATGAAACTCTTTTTTTACCAACGTGGAATCTTTGAATTATTATATTACAATTTAATAAGTATGATATAAACTGATCTTTTAATACACATATCAGATGGTCACTGGTAACCCACCCGGTTCATAACAGCACTGGAATGTACTGATAATAATAATATGCTGATGATGTCTTGAGAATATTTGTTCAAAGCTCAGATATATTCTTCCATCGAGGGTTAGGAGCGATCATGGAATGGAAAACATCAAAGTCGGATATGCCATCAATTTGATCAGAGACCACCAAAGAGCTAGTCACATTACTGGGAGACCGGGTCACAATCAGAGAATAGAGCGACTATGGCGTGACGTTCACACAGAGGTGACTGAAACATTTTACAAGGAGTTTTATGCGTTTGAGGATGACGGTAGATCTATCCTTGATGTAATAAATAGCCAGCACATTCATGCGTTGCACTTCGTTTATGTTCCGGAAATAAACTGTCGACTGACTTCTTTTCGATGTGGTTGTAACTGTCACACAATGAGAACAGAACAAATCTGGATTGATGGTATCCAGAACAATGCGAACTCAGGACACACGTCTGTTAAAGAAATATTTGGCGATGTACCTACTTTTGCGACCCGTCTTGTCGATGCCGTTCACAATTTGATACTGATACGGAGTTACACACAACCAACATATGGAGCATGCTACATCAAGAGTTGTCTCCCTTGGTGGAGCGGACGGCTTCCTTTGTTGACATGGCAGATTTGACAGCAGAATAGAAAGAAAGCCGGTTCCAGATGATTTTGAAAGAGGTGTGACTTTAGTCCGTTTATTAAAAGCGGATCGATGAATTGCAATCTAACTCGAAAAGTAAGAGTTAGATTGCAATTCATCGGTCCGCTTTTGAGCCAAACGCACTATAATGCAAAAGAGTTAGCTGGTAGACATGGCATTCCTCTGTCTACAGTATACAGAACGTTGAAGAATATTCAGTCAGGAGTTGGGATTGCGCACAAGACAGGGGCAGGTAGGCCAAGGACGTTCAGCACTACGGACTGTGAGAAGGGAAAAATTGAAAAGCGTTGAGAATATCAGAAATGACATGATTAATAGAGGACGTCCTCAGGTATGTAATGAAACCCTCAGACAAGAATTACAAAGACTTAACTGGATGAGAAAGCGCAGAATTCCCTCACCATTGGTGAAAGATGAACAAAAAGAAAGACGTTTAAACTTGTGTTGGTGTGACGAAAATCAAGATTGGGGTGATGAAAGTTCTGTCTGGCTTTTTCCGAACTGTGTGAAAATTTGACGAAGGAAGGATATGTTGACATCTTAAATGATCACCCCCTTCCAACGGCCCGAACACTGTATAAAGATAATTGGATTTTCCAGCATGACAACGACCCAAAACACACTGCGGGCAACCCAAAATACTGGTTGTCGGACGAAAATGTTCAAGTTTTAGAGTGAGTGAGTTTACGCCGCACACAGCACATTCCAGCTATATGGCGGCGGTTTGTAAATAATCGAGTCTGGGCCAGACAATCCAGTGATCAACAGCATGAACATCTATGTACACAGTTGGGATACGATGACAGGTGTCAACCAAGTCAGCGAACCTAACCACCTGATCCCGTTAGGCGCACCTTACGACAAGCATGGGTTAATGAAGATTACATTGTAATTCTAACCCGGATCTTCTCGAGTTCAAGTTTTAGACTGGCCCAGCTACAGCACATATCTTAACACTGTTGAGAATGTGGGGGGACTAATGAAGGACAGAATAAACCAAAAAGGACTTAGAAATATTGAGGAGTGGTCGAATATTGACATACGCCATCACACGATTTCCTACAAACTTTGATCGGTAGTGTACCTAGGCGCATTCAGTCGTGTATTGCAGGGCAGGGGCGAAGCTACCATTATAAAAAAAAAGCCCGGGCTTACACATGATTGTTGCTAAAAACGTTGGGCAAGCCATTCATACTATCTAAATATAAAGCTTTGTAACCTATCGGGCTTACACGGGGGAAAATGGCTTGCTACGCGCCAGCAGGACAAGGAGGTCTCACAAAGTACTGAAAAGACAGACTGTAAGAAAATCATGTCACAACATATTCATCTAAGTAAAACGTTTATAGTTTATATACATGGATTAGATATTTGCTAAAATAACTTTCTCAATAATTTCTGTGAATGTTATAATTCATGGACTCCACCCCTCTAGCCCCCGTCCCCCTAGCCCCCTGTTGTTACAAGCTACTAGTTAGTACCTCTAGCCCCTCGTTTTAAGTAAGATATATTTACACGTCACAGTCATACAATTAGTGGGAGTGTTTATATACTATTTTTATAGCTATACGCACTAACTAATGTTTGTGGAATGTCTGGTAGCTGTTAAACAACACTTTACGGAGCTACAAAGGAGTGTCCGTGGATGCTTGTGAAACTTGTATGACCAAAATCAGCATTTTTATCAAAGTGAATATTTTTTTATAAGAAACCAATTATTCATCACATGCAGTCTACATCAATTTACAACAAAATCAAGATTATCCAGTAAAAAAGATTTCATCTTCGTTGATCTAGTCTATACCTATACTATCAGTTGCGCATGAGGGTGGCGCAGCAGAGGTAATGAACCAGTCATGAATTCTGGGATATCATCCGGGTACTCACGGGAGAAAAACAATAGCAAAAGCAACAACCAGTCCACGGAAATTGCTATGCATCAGTGGTCCTTTAAGAACACCGAATGTTATATTCATAATGCTTTAACATTGTCTTTGACTAAGTGTTGTCTAGTTCTCGCTATTCATAGTATATTTTCATTGACAATAAAGCATCATTGCTCATTGAACCATATAACTGAAACCGTAAAAATCAGTTCATATTATAAGTTTTAATTATGTAGTGGACTAAATGAGAATAAATTATAAAATATCGTAAACTATCTTCTTAACGATCTGTGGGGTTTTTTCCTGGTCCGATAACTTAATGTAATAGTTAAGTCAAAACTGCGTTTGACGTCAATTTCAGTCAGTTATATAACCACAGTGTACTGAATATACTATGCACAAAAAGTAAGGGATAGTTTGAATCATTCAAACATATCTCTTTGGTACTGGCAAATCGAATGCTATGATAGCATATCTGCTTGGGAGTAGGAGACTGACTGAGTTGGGTTTTACGCCGCTTTTAGCAATATTCCAGCAACATCACGGCGGGGGACACCAGAAATAGGCTTCACACATTGTACCCATGTGGGGATTCGAGCCCGGGTCTTCGGCGTGACTAGCCAACGCTTTAACCATAAGGCTACCCCACCGCCCCTGGGAGTAGGAGATCAGACCTATTGGGTTCTTATGGCCGGTGTGATGAGATGGTCGTGCACTAGGTCGTTAAAAGGTTTGGGGTCAAAATAAAAATTTGTATTTTCCAGCCAGTCACTAACGACGGATAAAACCACCTGTTTGCCCGGCATGCATGCATTCTACTATTCATACTTCTGATGATTCGTCCAAGGGTAGCTTCCCACTGACGGTGCACTACGTATCATACCATGCATGACTTGGTAAATTCTCGATTCTGCTCGTGATTGACAAATGTCAGAGGTGCAAAATATTGTTTTGTTCACAACTCTACTACCCACGAACGTATGCTTACCATAACGACTCTTTACAAGATGGTATTGGTGGCACAATTGTAACATAGTTTGGAAAGATTAATGGATTTCAGAAATGGCAACTTAAACATTGAAGTATGTATAACAGTTCATTCAACTTGAACTCGAACCCCCAACGATGATACCTCATTTCCCCCAACTGGCACGTGGATTGACCCTGTAACGAACTGAAGAAAGGACATGAGGTGTTCCTGATCTAGTACTCTCTCAAACTGTTTCAAGAAGTACAGGACTTTCTCCTCAGGTCTGATATATTCCCCCTCCGTCAATATACAATCTACCACATTATAGGAGTAGGACGCTGGGGGGTGATAAGAGCTGAAACTTCGTGAATCGTCAACTGCACCCAGAATGATAACACGCGTGAACTTGGAATACCACGTCTCATGGCATCGTAAAGAGGACGAGGGATGTCAAGCAACTTTCTGGTCAATTTCTGCGATTTGATCTGAGATTTCCCAATAGTTTGGCATTCCCAAGAAGCCATTGATGCTGAGGAAAGTGATCAGCGAGTCCATCTCTTATTGTCAAGTCTCTGGAAAAGCGCCATCATCTTTTGAATCAGGTGTTGCTTTACCATGGTACAAGAAAGAAAAAAAGTCTTCTAAAAGGCATTGTTTGCCCACATCGGATGCAGAGACAATTCCAGTGATAGAGGTTCCCGTGATCATAGATGGCAGACAACTTGTCATTGCCACCGATTGATTCATACTTCCACAACTCCTGCCTAACTCTGTGGAAGGGTAGGCTTGGCACCTTAGATCGCTCTCATCTGAAGTATGGTTCAAATACTCCCGTCCAAAATGCTGTGAAGATATCTTAGCTCAACCCTCCAAAATCATCCCCCGATTCTCCAGCGAAAGAAACATGGAGTCGTGATTGTAGAATGGAGGGATCGTCTTTGTAATGCTGCAATATCGGCTCGACCACATCGGAACGTGAAACTGTTATCTGCCTCTCTCCTTCTAGGTCGAGTAAGCTTTCCGGTGTCGACAATACTGAAAATACATTTAGGGAAAGTAAATTAATACGACTAGACCTTAGATAAGTTTGGGCCATCTTTCTTCGAGATAGATATAAGAGCGGTACATTGTCAAACGAAGCATCTTTAATGAACATTCCTTTAAAAAAAAAAAAATCCATTTCAACCGTGCGTCAATTCTCGTTACTTATTTAACTACACATATATGGCAGAGAGCTAGTTCTAGTGGATGTTATAACTATATATACATATATGGCAGAGAGATAGTTCTAGTGGATGCTATACCTATATATACATATATGGCAGAGAGATAGTTCTAGTGGATGCTATAACTATATATACATATATGGCAGAGAGATAGTTCTAGTGGATGCTATAACTATATATACATATATGGCAGAGAGATAGTTCTAGTGGATGCTATACCTATATATACATATATGGCAGAGAGATAGTTCTAGTGGATGCTATACCTATATATACATATATGGCAGAGAGATAGTTCTAGTGGATGCTATAACTATATATACATATATGGCAGAGAGATAGTTCTAGTGGATGCTATAACTATATATACATATATGGCAGAGAGATAGTTCTAGTGGATGCTATAACTATATATACATATATGGCAGAGAGATAGTTATGGCAGAGAGATAGTTCTAGTGGATGCTATAAGTATATATACATATATGGCAGAGAGATAGTTCTAATGGATGCTATAACTATATATATATATATGGCAGAGAGATAGTTCTAGTGGATGCTATTACTGTATATACATATATGGCAGAGAGATAGTTCTAGTGGATGCGGGGCGGTGGGGTAGCCTAGTGGTTAAAGCGTTGGCTCGTCACGCCGAAGACCCGGGTTCGAATCCCCACCTGGGTACAATGTGTGAAGCCTATTTCTGGTGTCCCCCGCCGTGATGTTGCTGGAATATTGCTAAAAGCGGCGTAAAACCAAACTCAGTCAGTCAGTCAGTCTAGTGGATGCTATAACTATATATACTTATATGGCAGAGAGATAGTTCTAGCGGATGCTATAACTATATATACATATATGGCAGAGAGATAGTTCTAGTGGATGCTATAACTATATATATACATATATGGCAGAGAGATAGTTCTAGTGGATGCTATAACTATATATACATATATGGTAGAGAGATAGTTCTAGTGGATGCTATAAGTATATATACATATATAGCAGAGAGATAGTTCTAGTGGATGCTATAACTATATATACATATATGGCAGAGAGATAGTTCTAGTGGATGCTATAACTATATATACATATATGGCAGAGAGATAGTTCTAGTGGATGCTATAACTATATATACATATATGGCAGAGAGATAGTTCTAGTGGATGCTATAACTATATATATACATATATGGCAGAGAGATAGTTCTAGTGGATGCTATAACTATATATACATATATGGCAGAGAGATAGTTCTAGTGGATGCTATAACTATATATACATATATGGCAGAGAGATAGTTCTAGTGGATGCTATACCTATATATACATATGGCAGAGAGGTAGTTCTAGTGGATGCTATAACTATATATACATATATGGCAGAGAGATAGTTCTAGTGGATGCTTTAACTATATATACATATATGGCAGAGAGATAGTTCTGGTGGATGCTATTACTATATATACATATATGGCAGAGAGATAGTTCTAGTGGATGCTATAACTTTATATACATATATGGCAGAGAGATAGTTCTAGTGGATGCTATAACTATATATACATATATGGCAGAGAGCTAGTTCTCGTGGATGCTATTACTATATATATATATATGGCAGAGAGATAGTTCTAGTGGATGTTATAACTATATATACATATGGCAGAGAGCTAGTTCTCGTGGATGCTATTACTATATATATATATATGGCAGAGAGATAGTTCTAGTGGATGCTATAACTATATATACATATATGGCAGAGAGCTAGTTCTCGTGGATGCTATTACTATATATATATATATGGCAGAGAGATAGTTCTAGTGAATGCCATAACATTTGCATATGGCAGAATAATAATTCTAGTGATTGCCGTAACATTTACGTATGTCAGTGATATTTCTAGTGAATGCTTTATTTTTTTAAACCCATAACATTTACATGTGGGAGAATGACACTTCTAGTGAATTATTAAACAATATATACTCTCCCAAAAAAGAAACGCATCATGAAAATAGCAATTTCATGTAGCAATGAATTAAAACGTGATTCATTTTACAAAAGGTTTTGCTCTGTTTATGAGTCCTATGGTGTTTATGTTTTGAAACATCACAACAAAACGCACCATTCGTAAAATACCCGTATTTAACAACATGATTTTCAATTTCGGCGTGTAGTGTCAAAGAATACACAATTCACATGTAATGCACGTGTAATGCACGTGAAAGTTGGGATCAGATAGTCTCAATGATGGGTATAAAAGGTTGATCGCTGTCTGTCGATTATTCACTGTATTTAGAATATTGTTGGCGGACGCAAAATGCCACGTCTAAGTGAAGCCAACCGTCATATCGCCATTGGTTTGCTGGCCAGTCTCAACGTGCAGTTGCCCGACGCGTGAACGTTCACCAAAGCACCATTTCACGGCTCTGGGAGAGATATCGCCGGCAGAATGCGGTAGCAGATGCCCCTCGTAGTGGGCAACCTCGAGCGACCACTGCGGCGCAGGATCGCTACATCCGGGTACATCACCTGCGTCATCGAACATCTACGGCGACCAGTACCGCTCGACAAATACCCGGATTGAGGAGGCTTTCTGCACAGACCGTCAGGAACAGGTTGAGAGAGGCTGGTTTACGTGCCAGAAGACCTTATTTTGGCCCTGTGCTTCGACAACAACATCGTCGACATCGAGTTGAATGGTGCACCAACGTTCAGGCCTGGAGCCTACCGAAATGGCGTAGAAACTGGTTCAGTGATGAATCACGATTTCTATTGGAACGACGCGATGGAAGAATGCGGGTGTACAGACGTCGACGTGAACGTTTCGCCGACGTTTGCGTTCCCAAGGTGGACAGATCCGGCCGGGGAAGTGTTATGATGTGGGGGGTGATCACCTGCCGTAGGAGAAGTGATTTGGTGATGATCCAGGGAAACCTGACAGCTCAACGGTACTGTGACGAAATCCTGCGACGCCGTAACCCTCAGCCCCAGACACTTCAGCAACTCGCACAGGCACTACAGGCAGAGTGGGCTGCGATTGGGCAACACGAGATTCTGAGACCTATTCGTTCGATGCCGTGCAGTTCTGGATGCCCACGGTGGTCACACGAGGTATTGACTTCAGCGCCACCACACGTCTCCATGTGACACTCAAACTGACTTTCCTCGAGTTGGTGCCAAAGACGGATAAGTCTGCATTCCCAGTGTGCAATTTCGCTATATTTCATTGACTCATACAGCCTACAAGATGTTTCAAAATAAACATAAAAATACAGTTGAAATTCCTATATGCGTTTCTTTTTTGGGAGAGTATATATATATATGGCAGGGTGATAATTCTAGTGAATGCTATAACATTTACATACGGCAGTGTGATAATTCTATGGAATGCTATGATACATATATCAGAGTGATAACTCTAGTGAATGCTATAACTATAGGCATAATACAGAGTGATAATTATAGTGAATGCTATAACTATAGGCATAATACAGGGTGATACTTATAGTGAATGCTTTAACTATAGGCATAATACAGGGTGATACTTATAGTGAATGCTTTAACTATCGGCATAATACAGGGTGCTACTTATAGTGAATGCTATAACTGTAGGCATAATACAGGGTGATAATTATAGTGAATGCTATAACTATAGGCATAATACAGGGTGATAATTATAGTGAATGATATAACTATAGCCATAATACAGGGTGATAATTATAGTGAATGCTTTAACTATAGACATGAATGCTATAACTATAGGCATAATACAGGGTGATAATTTTCGTGAATGCTATAACTATAGGCATAATACAGGGTGATAATTATAGTGAATGTTATAACTGTAGGCATAATACAGGGTGATAATTATAGTGAATGCTATAACTATAGGCATAATACAGGGTGATACTTTTAGTGAATGCTTTAACTATAGGCAAAATACAGAGTGACAATTCTAGTGAATGCTATAACTATAGGCATAATACAGGGTGATAATTCTAGTGAATGCTATAACTATAGGCATAATACAGGGTGATGATTATAGTGAATGCTATAACTGTACACATATGGCAGAGTGATAATGTTATAAGACGCCTGGTCAACCATTTGATGATTTGTACGATGTGGGATTACGGATTCAGGAATGTTGTCAGAACAGACTCCGAGTAAGCAGCTTGAGCGCAAGTAATAGATTTCTAATAGTGGAAACAGGGTGCTCCCGAAGATATTTTTCTTACTCACGGTGGTCAAGATGAGCAGCAACTTGAACAGATCCCACACTGTCGTTTTCACTTTCAGCTATGAACACGAAGATAAATAATGCTGTAGGTTTTACAAAATATTCATACATATGCTAATGAAATGACGTTTTAAGTACATATTCGATATATGAGCATTAAGGTGCTGTTTTTTCCGTTCTATACTCAGATGTTCTTAAGCTGTCTATTGAAAATATTATCATCTTGGAGTACTGTGTTGTCAGATGTCTCCAATTGTTAAGTCATGCATGTAAGCACAAACGACCATAAGACCCGTGTTCACTGGTTTTGTGATACCTTTGTAACCGACCTTCATAGATAACTTAGTCATATGGTCCGTGTAGGTAATGATAGTGTATATTTCTTCAGATTTGGATTACCTATTGTCTGGAACTGAACTGTGGGAGTGCCCGCCATAGTCCATCGATTTACCTGTGTTTCAAGTTCGTGTTGTGGGTTTGTTGGCGCTTGATGTACACTTTCTGGGTTTTATGGCGCTTGGAGTTCGATTTCTGGGCTTGATGGCGCTTGGGGTACGATTTCTGGGCATGTTGACGTTTACTGGTCCGTCTCGTTCTGTCAAAATTATATGAAATAACAGCTGCGTTTTTGTGTAAAGTTTTGTTAAGAATTCGCCAATTTTCACTGAGTTTCATCATTTATTGAACTCATGACAATACTATTTTCAACATGACGAATTTTGTTTTACAATACATCAGTTCATGTGTAAACAATAACCTTTAAACAGTATGGGATATTTTGCAAAATCTAGTTCAAAACAGTTGACTGAAGTAAGTGGCTACATTTACACTAGTGAGTCTAAACTTTTGATGGGTAGTATATAGAGAATACTACACGAGGTCTCATTATACGAAACGAGTGTCCTTCCTATGGTATCTGACCGAGCGAAAGCGAGGTCAGATAACATAGGAAGGTCACGAGTTTCGTATAATTCGTATGTAATGAGACCGAGTGTGGTATTTTATTTATTACCCACGTCTTACATGCATTTAAATTGACAAAATAGCGTATTTTTGTTATGTTTTTGGTTTCAAACCGAAACCGGTTTCATAAAGAGGTTGCGGAAGAGTTTTGTACTGTAGTACAATATTTGCATGACGTCACACTAATGACGTCACTGCCATGGTAACCGACGTCACGATGCATGTCAGTTGTCATCGCCTCGTACAGCCTCCTACAGTAAACTACTCCGTTGCACCTCGTTTCTTGGTTTCCAGTTGCTTCATTCGGCTAACATCACTGGTGGAAACATTGCGTTTATGTTTTTCGACGGATATAATGTCTCAGTTCGACTCACAATTAAACAGCGACACGGCAACGTTCGCAATGTTTACATTCCCACAATGCATTTAAGTTGTAGAATGAATGAATTCACGTGTTTGTTATGAATGAAAAAATAGTTACGTCAGAATGTGACCTAATTGAGAGGTCATCGGTTATCCAATCAAATCGTTAGAATTTCAGGTCAAGTCGTTACGACACAGGTCAACGCGATACGACACTCGTGTGACGTACGAGATTAATATGCAACTACCCATACGTTGACCACGTGGGTAATAAATATTATTATAGTACGGCGTGATTTTAAGAGGATTATAGACTTGACTAAACCGAGTCTCTCAGTTTCTTACCAGTGGAATGTCTCTGTTTGGTACGATGATTAGTTTGACCTTCCCCATTTTTCTCTCGAGATCTTGGAGGGACTGCGGGGGCTATTGTCCGCACCCTCCTTCCCTTGTCACACCGTCCATATGTGAAGTTAACAAGGGCGAGAGAGACTCTTGGAAACAAAGACACGACGTGGGCCTCCAGTCTTCCCAGAGTCCAACTCCTCAGGAGCCTTATGACGTTGGATTTTGAAACAAACGTACTTTCATTCTCTAATCCAATGTATCATTATCCAAACATCTCTGCTCAAATACCGAAATTCTTCAGCTTAATATCCTACAGGAAGGTTCCAGAGCACGTACGGTTAAGACATATACACATGGAAAAGAAACCAGAATGAAAAATGGCAACATATTGTAATTCAGAGGTACAGACAACCTGCGTATCTGCGTAAATTACGCAAATATGTATTTGAAAACTCAATTCCTATTAGGTCTGTTGCGTACAAGTACGCTTGAATTTTTGTAAATACTCAATAAATGTGATCTTACATGCGTACACACAAAAATGTCAAATCTTAGCTTGGGTACCGGGGGATATATAAAATAACTTAGGTATATTGAGAGGTTGTATTTCAGGACATGAACGTGACAACTTGCAATCTTTCTTATCGTTTCTCATATTACAGATCAAATATAAATAACAAACACTAACATTTAAACTTTATTATATTTTTAAGTGGAAAATGGCAAAATACCCAATTGAGTTTGAGTGAGGTGAGTACAATTTATTTGGTTACTGAAAGGAAAATTAGGATACCCATTTGAGATGAACACAAGCGAGTACATAACTCAATTTATTACCCACGTGGTCAACGTATGGGTAGTTGCATACTAATCTCGTACGTCACACGAGTGTCGTATCGCGTTGACCTGTGTCGTAACGACTTGACCTGAGATTCTAACGATTTGATTGGATAACCGATGACCTCTCAGTTAGGTCACGTTGTGACGGAACTACTTGTTCATTCATAACAAACACGTGAATTCATTCATTCTACAACTTAGATGCATTGTGGGAATGTAAACATTGCGAACGTTGTCGTGTCGCTGTTTAATTGTGAGTCGAACTGAGACGTTATAACCGTCGAAAAACGTAAACGCAATGTTTCCACCAATGATGTTAGCCGAGTGAAGCAGTTGCAAACCAAGAAACGGGGTGCTACGGAGTAGTTTACTGTAGGAGGCTGTACGAGAGGCGATGACAACTGACATGCATCGTGACGTCGGTTACCAAGGGGAGAGACGAGTGACGTCAATACAGTGTGACGTCATGCAAAAGTGTACGTCGGAACAAAATTCTTCCGCAACCTCTTTATGAAACCGGTTTCGGTTTGAAACCACAACAATACCAAAATTTACATGTCAATTTAATGCATGTAAGACGTGGGTAATAAATAAAATACCACACTCGGTTCATTACATACGAATTATACGAAATTGTGATCTTCCTATGAGCTTCTGACCTCGCTTTCGCTCGGTCAGATACCATAGGAAGGACACTCGTTTCGTATAATTCGTATGTAATGAGACCTCGTGTAGTATTCTCTATGACCCAAAAGGTTATCTGTAGCTCTGGTAATTAGTGCACCGAACATGTAAATTCTCTAATGTTGTTTTCTGTCAATTGTGCTATTACCCTAAAACAAAGCGACAATAATCAACTGGGGATAAGATGAAATCCTTATCGTCTTGCAACGAATTAAAACTCGGACAAGCTTTTGTGTCCCCTGACCTGCATTTATAAATAAATGTTAAAAACAGTTTCAATTATACATTGGCGGAAGATTTGTGAAGTCATAAACCTTACCAAATCCATTCCTGGTTAGAAATCTACATTCCACACAATCCTCTTTCTCCTTCCTCTGTGCCTCTCTTCGTCTGTAATGGTTCATTCAATTACCACTATAATAGTTTAAAGCTTTGTTTTAAACATTTTTTATTCATAAGAAAAGGGTTGGGCACAAGCTATACAACTTAGAACACCATCTCCGTAGTATTTACATAATATTTACATTCATTATACAAGATGGACAGACAAGAACAGAAACATGGGAAACAGTGGAACAATAGCAGTAAACCACTCACTAAATATCTCATTCATACAAAATTATGCCAAACAATCTAGCAACAAAACAATAATACCACTTTTTACCATTATACAAATTGTTATAAATATGTATATATGTTCTTTTAACTTTTTAAATCAGTTCTCTCTTTTTATCAAGTTCATTTTTAACCTTTTATATATTTATCACTTTCCACTTACTAAATATGTTTTTAAACATGGGTTGGTTAAAAAATACAATAACAATAACCATTTACTACACCACATCTATTTTAAATTCAAAATCTCTAAAACTCTTTACCTATTTCATAATTTTGTTTACCTTTTTAATTCGGCATTCCATTGACAAATATATGTTGTGAACAAAAAGAAGTTTAAATATGTTTTGATTCAATGTACGACTTCAGCCACTCAGATCTTTTAAATATGTTTTGATTATGCGACCAGTCAGATCTTCATTGCCATGTAATAGTAACTCATAGTTTATATTCATATTGGTAACACTGTGTAAATTAGTCATCATGGTAGTTCTCTGTACAGTATATAACTGAAGGAATTAACATCAAATGATACCGACCACTGATTAATAGAGATCAAGGCTACTTTATCCCCACTGCATACGATGAGGTCATCAATCAACCCTAGCCTCTTGTATAAACATTACTGGCTTCTACTGGCTTCTATGTGTATCCCCGTTGTCCTCTGCTACCCTTTATTCACTATCATCACATTGTTAATCGTGTATACATTCTATGCTCTGTTAATCTTGTGTACATTCTATGCTCTGTGTATCATTGGCTTCCACTGGCCTCTATGTTTATCCCTGTAATCCTGTTATCCCTTTATTTGTTATCATCACATTGTTATTCCGCCTTGCCTTGTTAATTAGTCTTGTTGTATATATATCTTTTGTTCTCTCCCTGTACCATTCTCACTTGAAAACGATACAAGAACCTGTATCGAAACGTCGTGCTCTAGAATAAAAGAAGTTGTCATCCATATATACTTGTTCTTGTTTTATCAGTATATAATTGAGTGAGTACGCCGCTTTTAGCAATCAAATAGGTAACACCAGATAAGGGCTTTCCACAAATCGAACAGCTTGACGAGCGAACGCTTTATCTACCCCACCGCCCGATTTCCACAAGACCATCTTTTATACCAATAATAGATCATAATTCAGTTGACTACACATGTAACGTAGTTTTGTAAGGATGTATTGAGGGGCAGTTTTATAACAATATTCATTCAGTGACACGCTTTTTCTCACTTCAACTGGAAATCCATTCCACATTCTAATTGTGGATTGAAATACGAATAATGCGAAAGTTTTAATCATGAGAAAGGAAGTGAAACATCACTAGTTACGAGTATTACAGTTACTTTTAGATGCTACGTTCCCAGGAACAAGATCATTATGGTATACGACGGTGCCATATTATTCTGTATTTTGTAAAAAAGAAAAAGTTTGCGCTTTCTCCAACGTTCTGGTAAAGTTTCCCAACCAGTTTCATAATACAGATATTCATGATAAGCATCTTGTTTGAGTGGCATTTTAGAAGTTGGAACGTAACAATATTGAACAATCTTTATGGAGAACATTTCCTGCTTGACAAGACCAGTAAAGGTCCGGGTTAGAATATTGATCTTCAGTAACCCATGCTTGTCGTAAGAGGCGACTAACGGGATCGGGTGGTCAGACTCGCTGACTTGGTTGACACATGTCATCGGTTCTACTGGCTTCTATGTGTATCCCCGTTGTCCTCTGCTACCCTTTATTCACTATCATCACAACGTTAATCTTGTATACATTCTATGCTCTGTGTATCATTGGCTTCCGCTGGCCTCTATGTTTATCCCTGTAATCCTGTTATCCCTTTATTTGTTATCATCACATTGTTATTCCGCCTTGCCTTGTTAATTAGTCTTGTTGTACATATATCTTTTGTTCTCTCCCTGTGCCATTCTCACTTGAAAACGATACAAGAACCTGTATCGAAACGTCGTGCTCTAGAATAAAAGAAGTTGTCATCCATATATACTTGTTTTATCAGTATATAATTGACACTCAAATAGGTAATGATAAGGATTTCCACAAGAACAGCTTGGGTTATCTTTTATACCAACACGGAATAGATCATAACTCAATTGACTACACATGTTACGTAGTTTTGTAAGGATGTATTGAGGGGCAGTTTTATAACAATATTCATTCAGTGACACGCTTTTTCACTTCAACTGGAAATCCATTCCACATTCTAATTGTGGATTGGAAATACGAATAATGCGAAAGTTTTAATCATGAGAAAGGAAGTGAAACATCACTAGTTACGAGTATTACAGTTACTTTTAGATGCTACGTTCCCAGGAACAAGATCATTATGGTATACGACGGTGCCATATTATTCTGTATTTTGTAAAAAAGAAAAAGTTTGCGCTTTCTCCAACGTTCTGGTAAAGTTTCCCAACCAGTTTCATAATACAGATATTCATGATAAGCATCTTGTTTGAGTGGCATTTTAGAAGTTGGAACGTAACAATATTGAACAATCTTTATGGAGAACATTTCCTGCTTGACAAGACCAGTAAAGGTCCGGGTTAGAATATTGATCTTCAGTAACCCATGCTTGTCGTAAGAGGCGACTAACGGGATCGGGTGGTCAGACTCGCTGACTTGGTTGACACATGTCATCGGTTCCCAATTCCCCAGATCGATGCTCATGCTGTTAATCACTGGATTGTCTGGTCCAGACTTGATTATTTACAGATCGCCGCCATATAGCTGGAATATTGCTGAGTGCGGCGTAAAACAAAACTCACTCACTCATGCATCTTAAAGGCAACTGGCAGTGTGTTGTATACTCTGCAGTGACTCTGGGTCAGCTCATTAATTAAATAGGGGTGGACAGCATGGCTCAGATAATTAGTGTACTCATTGAGCCTGTCTTACGGGTGGTCTGTCTTTTGGGAGTGAACCGCTCCTGCACGAGTTGTACATGGTCACCTGCCATTTTGGAACCGGAAGTATTTACGGATATGTAGCCGGAGGTATTTGAAGATATCTTGAAATCGTTTAACGCCTTTTTGGGGCCGAAATAATTCGTTTGCCTTTCTTTCCTTTTACTGGTATTGTCATTATCAATACCTGATATAAAGATATCTTCAAAATTATTACTGATATCTTTAATTTGATTATAAACTCATGTCCAAAAGAAACGATACCAAATATTTTTTTCAATATTTTTAAATTAATGATACTTTTTGGAGAAAAAACATATTTCTGTGTATCCCACGTTCCTAACCAAACGTATTCGATCGAAAAAAACGGTAACATTTATTCACTGAAGAAGCAATCGCACGAAT